TAATAATTTTTTAAAGTAGACTCAAATGCTCTTTTACATTAGAATAATTCAACCCAGCCAACAAAGGTGGAAGAGAGAGGACTATAACCTTGCAAACATATGCTGCATGTCTTAACATATGATAAACTCACTATTAGAGAGGAAAATATCACTATGCCTCTATCACCCCTGCTCATGGCATTGTAACATAGCTTATATGTGATTCCCAGACCTCTTTGAGGAATACACATATATACGTGTGTGTCTAACAGGAAAATGCTCACATGTACATAGGTTATATACATAAATGAAAATAAGAAACAAAAACTCAAGCAGGGCACCAGTGGCTCCTACCTTTAATCCTAAGTACTCAGGAGGTTGCAAACTGAGGATCACAGTTCAAAGCCAGGCTAGGCAGGAACGTCCATGAAACTGTTATCTCCCATTAACCACCAAAAAGCTGGAAATGAGCTGTGGCTCAAATGGTACAACAGTGCTAGTTTTGAGTGTAAAAGCTAAGGAATAGCACCCAGGCCCTGAGTGCAAGCCAAGACCAGTGCACACGTGCATGCACACACACACATACACACACACAGAGGAAATTATTGTAAACTTCTTAGCCTCAAGGAAAACAGATTTTTATACTTATAGAAATATTTTTTTAACTAATGAACTAAATTGCCTTCTTAAGATTCTAGTCCAAAATCTCTGCCCCTTGTGTTTTGAGAGTGTTTGAGTGAATGTGTGTGTGTGTGTGTGTGTGTGTGTGTGTGCTGGAGATCGAACCCAGGGCCTCCTGCCTGCTCTAATGTACTTCACAGTACATGGCTGTCACTGTCCCTCATCTCTTACGGTATTTATCACACCCTTTGGTGTATTCCAATTATGTGTGTGCATGTCTTATCTCCTAACACCAGGCCTGGTGGGGGGGAGGGAGGCCCCTCCTGCCCTTCTTGCTGCCTTAATGATGCAAAACAAGGACTATGCATAGTAGGCACTCCAAAAAACATATAGGTAATGCAAGTTAGACAAAAATGTATGCTTCATCTTAAAGATCGTGGTCTCTGGGCTCCCCATTATTTGAAAAGTATAGGAGTCAAACCAACGGGCACTGCAAGATCTCGTTTGGAAGCACTGTCTGCCTGATACACTTATTACTAAGTCACATCATGGGGAGCTCATCAGATAATGTATGAATGAGACTTGTTCTGGCCATGAGGTCTTCTTAAAGCCTGTTCAAACTTCTACAAAGCCAGTATAAAACCATCAAGAACAAAACCTTGGCAGTGAGACCCAAGCAAGATACTCGTAGGGGAGAAACACAAAGGCACAATGCCGCTGTGCCTTGGATTATATAAAAGTATTTATCAAAATGAATTCCAGGAAATCAAAACAAGGTTGAGTTGAGTTGTTGTTGTTCTTGTTGTTTTAACAAAGAAAGGAATAAAACATTAAGCCAGGCACTGGTGTCTCACACCTGTAATCCTAAACTACTCAGTAGGCTGAGGACTGGAGTTTGAAGCGTCTAGGTAGGAAAGTCTCATGGACTTTTAATCCAGAAGTGGCGTTGTGGCTCAAAGTGGTAGAGCACTAGCCTTGAGCAAAAGAGCTCAGGAACAGCACCTGGGCCCTAAATTCAAGCCCAAGAACACACACACACACACACACACACACACACACAGAATAAAACCTTAAACTTGGACTAAGTGTAGGGCTCAATAAACTAGGTAATCAGACATTGTGACTCTTTCCGTTAAAAAAAAGGTTAATCCTTAATGCTTTGTATTGAAAAATAAACATGCATTTTGTGTATATACAAATACACACATATGGAAGTGGCACTGTGGCTCAAGTGGTAGAGCACTTGCTTTTGAGCTGAAGAGCTCAGGGACAGCACTCAGGCCCAGAGTTTAAGCCCCATGATTGACCCAAAAAAAAGTTGACAAATACACACATATATATTAATATACTATATGCTATAATATATAACATGTAAACATTGTATGCTATATCTATAATATATTAATATAGTAATATACAGCATGCATGTACAATATACTATCGCATAATTAATACATTTCTATTTCATAATATATGCATGTATTTGTATATATAATATATACACATACATAATATATAATAACCCTCTCCTCGGGAAAAGGGCCTGACAACTGGTTCATTCAGACCTAGACTGTATACAGTCACTGTTTCCACCAGGCTCCCCCAAATGACCAAAATTCTCTGAGTGGAGTCTAGAGAAGATGAGGTTGCTGTAGGCCTCTGGTGAGAATGGAGCCATGATAAAGATTACCCTTGGTTCTCCACTGGCCGTCTAAAAGTATTTGCTTGGGTGTTGTGACAGTGTCCTACACTCAAATGAATGCCTCTAACACTCCACATTTTTGAGCCATTCAGTCATGCATTTTTGTTATTGTTGAAAGTGGTGCAAAATTGCACTGCATGAGCTCAAGTCCCTGGTGGTCTTCCAGGGATTGGAGCTAAAAAGGCACTTCCTTTGTTCCTCAGGAGAATGCTGTCCAGTAGGTCATTGAAAGGGGGAAATAAAAGCAGCAGCCCTGGGAGGGAGATGAAGGACAAGACAAAAAGAATCAAATGTTTTGGGTGTGAGCACATTAGCTTCCATTTCCTGTGGCTGGTTACTAATAATGCCCCCTCCCCATCTTTGGGGAAGGGGCCTAGTTGATTGACATGTATGCAAATTGGCCTCTCAGGTGCGTATTTTTTGGCGGGGGAGGGGATGATGACAATGGGAACACCTAGACTGTGAGGTCCCTGACTGAGCACCTTCCCTGCTTTCCTTGGCGTTGAGATGTTCAGAAGCCAACGCCTGAAAGCCATCCTGCCATTTCTAGGGAAGGCAAGGAGCAAAATGAAGAGAGAGTGGGTGGTAGGTGGGGGGTGAAGGGGCAGGCAGGGTTTCCCCACCCACTACCTCAATGCCTTCAGTCTATGTGAAAGGCACAAATTGTTTGCATGAGCAGAAGAGGAAACTTGTCAGTCTCCCAGTTAAGTACATAGTTGTATGGATCGCTTCAAAACGTGGGAATGACAATTGTAACCTTCACGCCAATCATCTGTGGGGCACCCAGGCCCAAACTGCGGGGCACAAAGACACCCCCGGTCCCCAAAGACACCCCCGGGACCCACACCCCCAATCTGACCTGCTAGAGCCCTCAAGCTTCAGTAGCTGATGGTTTCCTTTACTTTTTCTGGCTGGGGGATAGGAAGAGAGGAAAAGAAAGGGCTTTTCAGGGCTCTACAGCCAATAAAACCCTGCAGCTGTGAGGACATACTTGAGTTCCCCAAAGACAGGCAGCTGAAGGGCAAACAGACTTTAATCAGTAGCGTGCGAGTTATTTGATAACCGGCAAGGTGCAATGGACGCCTGGACTACTCTATTTCTAGACACATGCCAGTTACACTCCGCAAGAGCCCAGCAACTTCCCTCAATTACCTTTGTGATTTCCATGGGATTGATGACTGCACTTAATCTCCCACGGTATTAATAGTCCTTCCCTACCGCCCTCCCCCCCCAAAAGTGCCCCCCCTTTCCTTCTCCAAGTGTTTCTAAGCCTTTGGAAGTGCCTGGTTAAAATTACAGTATTTCCTTTGCTGGCTGCCTAGGGGCTGCCGGCCCCACCCGTGCACCCAATACAGCCAGGCAAAGGCTCACGCAGCTTGCTCTCTTCCATGAAAGGTGTGGAATGGAGGCTTGGCCTCAGGAGCTTGAATCTTTCACTCCCCGGTTAGAGTGAGCTGGCTTCCCGCCAGCTAGATCCAGGCTCTTTTTGAGCCCCGGGGGCCAACAGGCTACCTGAATGGTCTTGGGGGGAGGGGGTGAGAGCCTAGTCGACCGGGCTGCGGCGCAACAGTTGGCCACAGCAAAGGAGCGAAACCAAGCAGTAGTGGATTTGTCCCAATGCCTGCGGCTCTAGCAACAAGGGATCGACAAGGGATCGAGGAGTCGTCCCGTCCCCTCCCACCTCAGGTTGCAAGAAGGGCATTCACAAATACCCCCAAGTAACCCTCCACGCATCAAACCCCCCCAAAAAAACTTTTTCAGAGGCAAAGCCTTCTTCATTTACATAACCATCTCCAAACTAAGAGTGAGGTTTCCCGTAATCAGTTCTTTCAAAGGGCTGTAATTGAATGTGCAATTAACCCTTAAAATGAGGTGAAGAAAAAAAAAAAAGAAAGAAAAGAAAAAGGAGGTCGGGGAAGATACCACTCGGTTCCAACCGTTGCAGAAAGCAAGAGTTTCCAAAAAGTGAGGCTTTGGTGAGAGTGGGAGCAACGAGAGGCAGGCTTGTGTGTGTGTGTGTGTGTGTGTGTGTCTGTGTCTGTGTGTGTGTGTGTGTGTCTGTGTGTGTGTCTGTGTGTGTGTGTTTAAGGGACTTCTAAAGCCCTTGCAGCTACTCAAACTCTTAATCCGTGTAAGCAGTGGAAGAGAGGTAGGGGAGAAGGGGGAAGAGTGTATTAAAAGCATATCAAGAAGACATCAATTTCAACTGCACATTTTGCAAGTCCCCCCTCCCCAGTCTGCAAACTCCCTGAGGTTCTCCCCGCCCACCCACTTCCCGGTAATCCCACCGCTACCCTCTATCTTCAGTCGCCCATACAACAAAGCCGGGCGCCCAGCTAAGTTCAACCCGGAAAAAGCAAGGGAGCCTGGTGACAGGCACTTGGAGGGCCCGGAGTCCTCCGTCGCTTTTTAGGATCTCAAGAGGGATGGAGGGGGGGGCGGGAATAGAGCACCGGAGTGGCACTGGGTAAACCCCGCAAAGTTGCAGCACCCCCCTCTTCCTCCCACTGGCCAGGACCGCGCGGCACCCGCAGCGCACATCCAGTGCCCTCCCCACCTCAGCTTGGGGCTGCTTTTCTATCGCTTTCTTTCTCTTGCCTATTTGTGCCTCTCGGCTACCCGGTCCGATGTAGGGGCGGCGAGAAGTTGGCCCTGTCCGTGCCCACCTCCCGGGATGGGGGTGTCTCTCCAAACCTACCGTTGATCTCGTGGAGGGGGGCATCGTTCTTGTTGAAGCCCTTGGCCACGTAGAGACGTCGCACTTCTGAGCAACTTTTCGACTTGAGCTCGGCAGCCAGGAGAGTGGCGCTCAGCACAGCGAGGGTGCAAAGAAGCGCGGGCAAGGAGACCCGTGCCATGGTGCGAGCCGGGGTGCACAGACGCGCTCCCACCTTTAGGACGCTATCACACGGCGGCTGGGGAGGGTGGAGGAGGGGTCGGGAATCTAGGAAGCAACGCACCCGAGCGGGCCGAGGGAGGCAGGGGCGCGGGATCGGAGTTGGGAGTTGCTAGAGGAGGAGATGAGGGGCAAAAAAAAAAAAAAAGTACAGCGGGGCCTCGATCAGGCAACGGTCCTTGGGTGCCAAGGCGCCCGACTGGAAAGGAGGAGGATGGTGTGGAAGCAGCGCGCAAGCCCAACGGAGCAGAGCCGCACACTGGCCGCGATGACCTCGGGGTTCCACGGGGCAGCGATCGATCGGTGCCAGCTGGCTTGCCCGGCTGTGGGCAGGGACGCGAAGAGGGAAGGGAAGGTGGCAGGAGCGCCCCGCAAGATCGCGAACCGGTGTGGGCGATGTCCGATGGGCGCTCGGGATGGCGTGGCTGCTCCGGTCGCCCCCCTTGGGCGCTGGTTCCCCCGTTCGCCGCACTCAGCTCAGCTCTGCTGGAGTCCGCTGGGCTCGGCTTTAGTCTGCCCTCAGCCCTGGGGCTGTGCCCTTCTCAGCTCCGCCGCTGATTGACTGGCCAGCTTGCGCGGCGACGCTCCACAAACTTGGCCAAGCGGGGCGGCACAGGGGTGGGGGGGTGGGAGGGGGCGGGCAGCCGGGGAAGAGGGCTGGAGACAGGCGGGAGCACGCAGGCCCCGGCCCGGGAGAAAACCTGGAAGCTGGGTATGGATCCGGAACAGCCAAATCCACTTCCTAGGAGGGAAGGGGGGGGGGTTCTCCGGGCCCGGGCACCGGGCGCTCCCTCGTGGGACACGCCCTGTCGGGCTCCTCCCTCCTCCTGGGAGGCGGGCAATCGGCTCACCGCCCTTCGTCGTCCTCCCCCTCCCCTTTCCACCTAGGGAGGCGAGGCCAGTTTTTCTGGGCTTCAAGGCCCAAGTCCCAGGGGAAAGCAGGCAGCCTGGGACTTGTCCTTGGACCCACGACTTAGTCCTTAGCGCCTCCATGAAGACACCTGATCCACTGTCCACCATCCAAAGCCACGTCCAGCGCTCTAGCCAAGATACCCCCGCCCCTCACCCCAACACACACCGCTGCCATCCGGCATCTGGAGGTGACACACCTGGACTAAGGGAGAAAAGCACCCACGTTATTCATCTGATAAACCCCCAGGCCCACCTGCCTTGTCTAACACTTGCTTCCCATCAGAGGCGGCTGTACCAACTTCACACACACACACACACACACACACACACACACCTGCCGCCAGGTCCTTCATCGAACTCACCCAACACACTTGAGCCCTACTCTGCAAATAGTCCCAGCGAACCCCCTAAGCAAGAGAAACACCTCCAACCTCCAGGAGAATTGATTGGGAGAGACCCTGGAGATCTTTTGCACCTAGCCTTGTGGACAGAGCCACTGGGTCTCCAGAGAAGGAAAGAAAGCCACTGGCAAATAGTATAGGTGGTGTCCAGAACCCACGATTCTTCAACTCTTTGCCACAGCAATAACCCTGGACAATCGATCAACCCTCTTTGTTCCCCAAGTCTCCTGAGACACACTGATGCCCTTTGAGGACCCACACTCCCACTTAGACACCCCAAAACTAGGAATGGGCAACTCTTCTCTTCTTGGAACCTTTGTCACATTCCATTAGGGAGTGTTTTGGAAGCTCCAAGAGCTTCCTGAATGAAGGCCACAGATTAGGAATTGTGTCATTAAGGTGGTCAGTGCTGGGAACCAGGCAGATAAAAAGCACTGGAACTTATTATTTGGCTAGACTCTCAATTCCCATAAAATTACATAGGGTGAAGATATGAACCATCATTACAATTATCACCCTCTGAGGGCTGGTTGAGAACTTCCTCCACTGTTGTTTGTAAATAACATTGACAGGGGTGGTGCTGGGGAACTGTACAAAGCAGCAGCTGTTGTTGGGAAGGAAGGCTCATAGACCCCTCAGCATTGGCGAGATGCTTGAAGATCAGCAGCAGAAACAGGCAGATAGATGGATGGCGACCTGCTTTAGAACTAGTGCTGCTGTCCATTTTCTGTCGCGTTGGCAAAGCATGGAACTCGGAGACAAAGACAGCAATGTTTCTCCATAGGAAAACTCAACTGCCACTGAATTCCCTGCCATCTTTCAAGAAACCTTCAAATAGCCCATGTTTATCCTTAAACTGCTGATAAATCATGAGGTCCTGGCGGCATAGCCCAGTCCTTGGGTATCATCACCTTATTTACTTCCAGATCCCCTTTCCCAAGGAGAATAAGATCCACGATGAAACCAACATGAAGAAGAAAATGAAATGCAGTGGCTCTAAGAAACCATAAAAGATAGCCTCAACTGTAAGGGCCAAATTGGTAAGTCGCCTCTCCCACCAAACCCAAAGGGGTCTACTTACTCCCCCCTCCACCAGCCTCCAACTTACTCCTGCTCTGCCTCTGAATGTCTTATTAACCAAAACTGGAGGCTTTTCCACCAGAAACAGCTACCTCTGGCTACAAACAGATCTGAACAAGTCTGAACTTTACCATCGGAGGCAGGAACCCCAAAGCCTGTTCAGAGGCGGCTTCCACTTCAAAGCCTCCTTTCATTTAAATACAAACAGGGTGAACAACTGGTAATCTACACGAAACAAATATCATCCAGAAGGGAAACTTTTCAGATGGCCCGACTGCCTTCTCCCCCTCCCCCTGCTCTTCTAAACAGTCCTGGGTGGAGCTCTCAGTTCTCTGAATGCCCCAAATGGATGGAAGGCTGCAGGTAGAACACAAGGTTGTCAAGCTACTTAACCCTTCAAATGGCACTTTTTTTTACATTATTTATTATGGTTTTTTTTTTAAATGTACCATTTCTCCATGTCAGGGTGCAATCGGCTACAAACATAATATATGGTATGACTATTGCCACAGCTAGTTCCAGAACATGTTCATTCTCTCAAAGGGTACCCATCTGCAATTCTTTTTTTGGGGGGGGGGTCCATCATGAGGCTTGAACTCTGGGCCTGGGCACTGTCCCTCAGCTCTTCAGCTCAAGGCTAGCGCTCTACCACTTGAGCCACAGCGCCACTTCCGGCTTCTTCCTTTTTGCTTATGTGGTGCTGAGGAATCGAACCCAGGGCCTCATGCATGCAAGGCAAGCGCTCTGCCACTGAGCCACCTTCCCAGCCCTCAGTTCCTTTTTGATACACACACACACACACACACACACACACACACACACACAGCCTTTGGAAATATACTTAACAGTAAAACAAAATCCCTTTATTCATGGAGCTTAACAATGGGGACTTGATAAACAGTACCAATTGCTACTATTATTGCCATTACACTTCTTATGATTTCTACCTTCACCACAATATCCTCCAATACATTCTTTCCTGTACTGACATTCTATTTGACAATTACTTTTTTTTTTTTTTGGTCAGTTGTAGGGCTTGAATTTAGGGCCTGGGCGCTATCCCTCCTCTTTTGCTCAAGGCTAGCACTCTACCACTTTGAGCCACAGTGCCACTTCTGGTTTTCTGAGTGGTTAATTGGAGATAAGAGTCTCATGGGGACTTTGCTGCTCAGGCTGGCTTTGAACCAATCCTCAGATCTCAGCCTCCTGAGTAGCTAACATTGTAGGTGCGAGCCACTGGTGCCTGGCTAGACTAATACTTTTGTATTGAAGTACATAATTCATGACTATAGGCTCATGCCTGTAATCCTACCAACTCAGGAGGCTGAGATTTAAGGATTGTGGTTCAGAGCCAGCCCATGCAGGAAAAGTCCATGAGCCAGAAATAGAGCTGTGGCTCAAGTGGTAGAGTGCTAGCCTTGAGTACCAAAGCTCAGGGACAGTACGCAGGCCCCGAGTTCAAGCCCCAGGACCAGCAAAAATTAAATCATATCTATATTGTTTTATAATTACCATTGAATTTTGTGCTTTGTAAAACAGAAAAGACTATGCATTACTTTCATACAACTGGGCGTCCTCACTACAGGAAAGTTATTTTGTGTGTGTGTGCCAGCACTAGGGTTTGAACTCAGGGCCTGAGGACTGTCCTTTAGCTTTCTCGCTCAAGGCTAGTATTCTACCAAGTGAGCTACAGTTCCACTTTTTGTTAGTTAATTGGAAATAAGAATCTCATGGACTTTCCTGCCCAGGTTGGCTTTGAACCATTCTAATTACTGACAAAAGCCCATTTTTCAGTAAGTACACACGAATGTGATGGCAGAATCGTTGCTATAAATATTCGTTCATCTATGTGGTTGCCTATGATCTGATCTGTGACATGAGATGTAAAATATACATTTTAGTGTAACTGACAGTTTCTTTTCCAATTTACCCACCAGACATAAATGGTTCCTTCATGGAAAGAAAATTATTTCTCCATATCATTTTGATTAAACAAAAACACTCATAATCTGACTTTGGTATTTAGATTGTGAAGGCACTTCTGGAACATTCCACATGTCACCAGGCTGATGAGAAAATCAAGGTGGAGACAGGGAATTTACTAGCACAAGTGACTGGAATGTGAGATCAAGAAGGGACTTGGGGGGGGGCTGGGAAGGTGGCTCAGTGGTAGAGCACTAGAAGCCAGTGGCTCATGCCTGTAATCCTAGCTACTCAAGAAAATGAGATCAGGAGGGCTACAGTTCAAAACCAGCTCAGAGAGGAAAGTTTGAGACTCTGATTTCCAATTAACCACCAAAAAGGTGAAAGTGGAGCTGTGGCTCAAGTTAGTTGTAGAATGCTAGCCTTGTGTGAAAAAGCTCACAGGCAGCACCCAGACTGAGTTCAAATCCCAGGATTGGAGTGCGCGCGGCACACGCACACGTGCACACATGCGTACACACACACAAACACACACACACACACACACACACCAGTTTTATTCTTCCAGGACTACAAATAGCTAAGGAGCTCCTATCTATAACCCCAGGTACTCAAGAGGCTGAGATCTGGGGATTGCAGTTTGAAGCCCACCCCAGCTAGAAACTGTAAGACTCTTATCTCCAATAAACTGCTTCCCCCCAAAAAGCCAGAAGTAGAGCTGTGACTCAAGTGGTAAGCACTAGCTTTGAGCACCAAATCTCAGGGACAGAGCCCAGGCCCTAAGTTCAAGCCCCAAGACAGGCACCAAAACAAAATGAAACAAAAGAAAACAAAAAGCTCACTAAGAAAGCAATGGAATTTTTGGTGCTGTTGTTGTTCGGGCCATGACAAAGCTCTTAAGGAGGGGCTGATTTCATGCAACAGGTTTTTGGACTTGAACTTCAAACCTGAGACATTGCAATGAATTCTTTCTCTTCTTTTCTTTTGACCACAGCACCATCATCCTCACTGAGCCTTGATGGGAAGAGACAAGAATGCATTTTTTAAGACAACCCAGCAGGGGGCAGGCATTTTGATTCCAAAGAGATACTACACATAAAAAGACTTGGGAGAGCGGGTCAGACATAGTTTGACATTTGTCATCTTCTAATCACTGATGAGCCATGTCTGCGGAACTGCTGCTGTGTGCTACTATAACAATAACACATTCAAATGAGCAGAAAAGCTATGAAAC